CAAAATTTTGATTTTGAGCTAAAGAAACTTGAAAATGATTTACGATCAACCGTTAGAAAAATCAAAAAGTTAAATTGGAAGTTAACTAACGCCAAACATGCTGTGATTTTCATCAATAATTGCATATATATATATTTATGTATATGTATATATATATATATATACATATATATATATAAATACATATATATATATATATATATATATATATATATATATATATGCGCTTGTGTGTGTATGACTTAAATAAATAAATTCTTCTACAACATTCAAACATTAGGGTGTAGAAGCTTTTTATTTATCTGAAAACATTTATTTAGTCATAAAATTTTTTAAATCGCCAACTACATTTTATCAAAAAACATGCTCCAAAGCAAAACATTATTTGGCTTGATTTTCATCTTAATTTTGTCATCATTGTCGGATGAGTCTTCAACATTTCCCAATTTTTCATCAACCTCTCCGTCGTCAAAATCCCACTCAACATCATATTCATCATCATCGTCGCTATCGAAATCATTTTTCTATCAAATAACTACGAATTCAATTAGAAATGACAATTCGAAAGTTGGATTACCCTCACCTTCCAAACTGCAGACTACAACCACCACCTCCAACATCAACAGAACAAGTTGTCCTAACGATGAGATGTCCTGCTTTGTGGACTTGAAGTTCCACGAACTGAACTCCACCTACTCACAGAACATAACATTGTACAGTGAGCAGTTTGATGGACTTCCAGATAAATGCAGAGATGGTTAGTTCACATTTGTCAGAGGTGCTGGTTGGAATGGATTATTATTTGCTTAAAATTTTTCAAAAACGTTTAGCTTTCATATTGCAGTCAATTATTCTTTCGCGGATTTTAAGTACACACAATTATGAATAAATAAATATATAGTGTTAATTTAATTGAAATATAAATTTTATTATAAAGTGATCATTTAAGTGAAATTAAGACATTGCATAGTATTCCATCTAAACCATTGTTCTTTTTCAGTACTTAATATTTTATTAGTTTCTTAAGGCTCTACTAAGAAAGTTTTTCAAATTCTACATTATTTTATTTTCCTAAAACTTGTCCAAATTTGTAGGAGTGTCTGAGTGAGGCAGCGTGCTCGGATCACTTCTATATATTATTTATGTTATGTTTCATATTGTATCGTAAAATATTTGGAGCCATTATCTGAATTACCTCAATGGCGCTGTTGTGCAAATGATGTTTGTGACGCTTTTTTAAACGATTTCGTGCGCGTCAAGTATTCGTAAACTTTTAGAATATCGCAAATCAAACAGGTTTTAGCAGACTTGGTAGCGAAATGTTGCACGTGGGTTTGCGTCAATCCGGCCAGTTTTCAGACTCATTGCAATATTTTTTGCATTTGAATGGCATGATTTATAAAAACTTTATCAAACTTTTTTGTATCAATTTTAGAAATCTAGAATAAAAAACCGTATCAGCAAACTTTGAAACTTTTAATTTTTTCATTGAATTTTGTTTAAATCTTGAAAGCATAATCGAATACTAGTTTTAACCTCATTGAATCACAATTTTCCTGTTTTTTTACCACAATCATTCATTCAATCAATCAATCAATCAATCAATTAGTTTATAAAGCGTTATTTCCGCGATGTTCAGCAGCGCTCCTCAATGACTTTTGCAAACAGATGTGTCTTGAGATTTGCTCTGAACTTCGTAAGTGATGGAAAAGTAATCAGAAAAGAAGGTATAGAGTTCTATATAAAAGGGACAGAAAAAAGCAAATGCAGATTTAGCAAAAGAGTGTTTAGCACGAGTAAAGAAGTGAGAACAAGAAGATGATAGTAAACCGAGGCGTTTAGGTTCAATTATCTTCAATCATCTAAACTCTCAAACCATCAACATTTGCAAACGCAACTCTATCAACAGATAATGTATTAGTTTTATGTATACCACAAAAGGCACATTAACTTGTTGTAAACAAATTTTATTTTCGGTACTTCTAAAATTCAACGACAACAAACATTAATTAATTCATATAAGTGTTTACATCTCAGTCGTCATTTTTTATATAGATATGCATCCTTTCAATTTGTATTGTTAACTTTTTTTAATCATTTTAATTCATCAATTTTTTGCCTAAAATATCAATTTCTGCGTTTGTCAAAAAAGCAATTTAAAAAGAATAAACCAATATAATATTTTGGACTTAGATAAAAGTGCAACAATGTTTTGTCAAATAATCATTTTAAGACTTCGGACTGACTAATATGAATCCAACCGAGCAACAAAAATGGTTGCAGCAGGAAACACAAGGATAGGATAGAAAACAATTTACAGACTTTTTAGATCTGAAATTAAATACGTTTTTATTCTTCTACCTCAGATTCATAGTTTGAACTATTACAACTTCTATTTTATCGTCCCTTCAAAAAATATATCTACGCTAACTCTATTTTTCAGAAAAACTTTTGAGTCGTATTTCCTGTCTTTCCAAATAAAATAAATTTTACCAAACTATTTATAAAAAATTTCATTGAAATTATGAAAGTTTAACAAATTGTGAACTCAGCTTTTGTTTGCTGGGCATGATTTATCATGCAATTGTAATATTTAAAATACAAACAACCATTGAAAAGGCTAATGTATAAAACTATAAAAAAGAAAATTTATATTTCTTTCAACAAAATTTTAAATATATATTATGAAGCCTGTGGAATAGTCAGTCAGTATGCACAACTTTTTGGTTAGAAGTTATTTTTAAATATTAATGAATGGAAATGGATGAAATTTATTTAATAAAATTGAGATAAAAAATAAATTAATTTATTTAGATCGCTGTGAAGAGATATTTGATGGATTGCTAACATGGCCCAGTACGCCGTTAGGTTTGTAGAATATTAATAATCATTAGGTTTGTAGCTTATTAATATTCATCATATTCAGTTTTTGACGGATCTGTTGCTACTCCTTCCGAAAAGACTATGTTTCCCAAAAACGAAACGTCTTTCTTGAGAAATCCACATTTTTCTATCTTGACTTTTAACCCTGTGTTTCTCAAACTTATAAAAACCTGCTTTAATCTAGAAAAATGATCTTGCAAATTATATTAGAATAAACAATAATATCATCGATGTTTGCTAAAAGTGTATTCGGACACAGGTCCGAAAGCACCATATCTATCAGACGCTGAAAAGTAGAACCAGCGTTACATAAACCAAAGGGCATTCGTTTGAACCTAAAAATGCCTTTGCTGCAAACGAAAGAGGTTTTATTCCTGTCGTCTGGATGCATATCTATTTGGTGATAGGATGATTTCAGTTCCAGGGTAGAAAACCACCGCGGACCCGACAATGCCTCTAAACAATGTCTATTCTTGATAGTGGGTACGCGTCTTTAACTGTTAGCAAATTTAATTTCCGGCAATCAACACAACATTTGTATGTTTTTTTTCATAATCCACATTTTTATTCAATTATCAGGAAAAAGTTATTTCACAATTTATTTAAATATCTGAGAATATTTAGAACCGACGGTCGAAATTGGATCTAAAAAAATTTAGCACCCGATGTCGAGATTGGCAATAATAACGTTTCTAATAATGTGTCTAACATACACACACACTGACGTAACTGAATATTAATGTTTGGAAAGCGATTATTTTGATATTAAAAAATGTTCGCATCAACGCACGTAGTCTACAGATGTAAATTCAATGTTTTGTTTATATTTCATTTTTGGTTTTCATTTGAAGAAAATAACTTAATAGTTATCATTTCTGAAATTTGAAATTTGGGTTATTCTTTTTAATGGTCGTTTTCTTCCAGAATTTTCGTTTTTGACAACGTTCCCTGAAACATTTACATTTTCATCTACCTCATTCTCACGATTCTTCTTCTATTTTTCCCATTTCCAATTTTATCATTTTTTAAATATACAAAAATTAAGTTATTCAAACATGTTTTTTAAAAATAATTTCAAACAACTTCTAGTTTCAATTAAATAACAATTATTTAACATGTTTTCCAATATTTTATAAATATGAAAGTGTACATATTCCTTGGATAAGTTCATTCTACTAAAAACATCCCAGTCGACTGTAATAATTCTAAGCAATTTTGCATTATCCATTAATAAATGTTTGCACTATTTTGGTCTGGTTGTTTGATGACGTTCCTGATCACATCATACACCACTGCATACATGACTTGCATTTCAAAATATCTTGATCTAATTACATCTTACTTAATCACATCTTACGATGTCCAAACTTGAACCCACTGAGGGTTTCGACTAGAAATTTGTAGATAAATGTTTATAATAGTTTGTATTGCATTTGCAGGCTGTATAAAAGATTACTGAGTCTCTTAACTTATCAAATCTTCGTTTCATCCATTTTTTTTATATTTCTTTATCTGATTTTTTCTGTTCAGAAATTTTGAACCCACACCAATTAAATTCAACATTTTCATGTGCCGATTCTTCATATTTAAATCGTTAAAACTTTACAAATGTTATAACTAAAACTCAGGTCATAGAGCTATACAGAAGTGCAAATACCATGACATAGACAAGATTATCTCATTTTTTCCCGGTAATGAATATTACGATCAATCCAAATTAAGCAACTATTTGAACAATGGCAACAGCAACAACAACAAACCATGCAGCGACGACATCTTTCCAAATGATGCTAACGGCTTTGGTGCACATCTGTTTAAAAATGGCCACACTAGCTACAAAGACAGCCTCAACTCAAACACTACGTACATCTACCAAGATTGCTTGCTTCAAATTAGTAGCTGGAACGTCGGTGCAATGTGGTTCAACACAATTGTTGATGACTGTCCGGACCATCCAGTGATTGTTCAATCGGAAATCATTAAAGAATCTTTCAAGGTAACTATGTTGATGGTAACAGTTATGCTGATAATAAATAGTGTGATGTTGCTAATTAAAATACGAGTAGAATTATATCGATGTTGATGATGCCATTAAATTATTTCCACCAACAATAATTATGACTTATATTTTAATTCGGATGTGAATTATGCAGTTGCTTGAGCCAGAGTTCATGTTTAACCTAACTCAATGGAAGAACCCAAAACGCGAGTCAGATGTATCACGACAAATAACAAACGCTTTTTGGGTTCTACCATTGAGTTAGTTATTATTATTGAGCGCAACATAAGGTCAAAATTTTGTTGCACGGATTTCAAACTAGTATTTTCAAATATAAGAAATAAAAAATACTCTATAATTTTCAAAAACTGTTTTTGTGAATATAAAATAACGAAAAAGATGCCATTGTTTGAAGTTCATCCTCGATGAAGTTTAATATGCTGTTATTGTACCAGTGTTGAAAAAACAAGGCATGAATATAAATGATTTGAACAGTTTCAGACCGATCTCAAATCTTTCCTTTTATATCTAACATTATGGAAAGACTTGTGTCTGGCAAATTGGTGAAACATTTAGAACGTAATGATCTACTGTCTTCACTACAATCGTGTTATAGACAACACCATTCTACCAAAACGGCACTACTCAAAGTTTAATCATTTTTGTATGAAAGTATGGACGCCGGGTGCTCCATTGCTAATAGCGTTTTTAGGTATGAGTGCAGCCTTCGACTGTGTGAACCATGATATTCTATTGAAGCGCTTAACCATCAGATTTGGTTTATCAGGCATTGTTCATGAGTGGCTCAAGTCATACATATCATATCGTACACCGCAGGTTTTATTTACAAACGATCTTTCATCTGTTCAGATAGTTTTGTCAGGGGTACCTCAGGGCTCCGTGTTGGAACCGCTGTTGTTCTTGATAGACACATCTGATATGTTCAATATTATTGAACAACATAGACTGGTTGGTCAGGCTTACGCCGATGACATACAAGTAATTGCAAGTGCATCATTGAATGAATTTGAAATTGTTTTAGATAGACTTGTCGATTGCTTAGCGGAGATCAGTGACTGGATTTCAGGGAATCGACTGCGGTTTAACAAAGGCAAAACTCAGTTTTTCCAAGTGGAAACTTGGCAAGAGTTTTCTAAGATGAGTGTAAAATCAGTTGCGATAGATGGCATGAATATAAAGTTCGGTTCCAAAGCAGTGAATCTAGGGGTTGTGTTTGATTCTAATATGACTATGATTGGTCATATAAAGTCACTGACAAGTGCCTGCACTGGACAGTTGCACAAATTGAAAATCATCAGAAGATCACTAGATAAAAAAACTTTCAGATTCTTTGGTGCATGTTTTTATTCATTTGCGGGTAGATTACTGCAACAGTATTTTTTATGGTCTGCTTAGTAAATCAGTCGCAATGTTGCAGACATTTCAGAATCGAGCAGCAAAATTGATTCTTGGTGCTGCAAAGTTTGGTCATGTTACTTCGCTGCTCAAAGAGTTTCACTGGCTGACAATAGAAAAGAGAGTAATGCTCAAAATATCCGTCATCATGTTTAACAGGCTGTGCTCGTCCATAATTAATAAGCAGATGTTCACCAAGAGTTAGCATGTTCGGAGTTGATCAAACAACTCATATCTCTTGACGGTACCAACTAACAAGCTAAGGATTGGAGAAAAAAATTTTTGTGTTCGTGGACCCATTGTGTGGAACAGTTTGCCATCTTATTTAAAAAGTCTTGATTTAAGTTTACTTTCGTTTAAAAAATTACTGAAGTCATATCTTTTCACATTATAGAAATTTATTATTTTTTTTTTTGTTTTGTTTTGTTTTTGTGACTTTTATGCAATATGTATATCATTTAGGTTTCGATGTTTGATTCTTTTTTTAATGTGGTTGGTTGATGTTGTTCATTTATTTATTTTGGTGAATGCTTCTAACTGGTTCTATTATTTAGTGAATGATTATTAGTATAAATGCATTTATTTGAAGGTGTAACTGTTGGGATTGAAATTTATTTAACAGGTTTGATTATTGTTGGTGATTTTTGTTCTTGTGGATTTATTGATTTGTTACTGTTATTTTGTGATCGGGGATTTAATATGAATGTGATAGCGCCTTTGAGATGCCAATTTGATTGCGATTTATAAATGTTCTTATAATAATAATAATTATATTGTTAATCAGGGGTTTCAACTATTTGAATATTTTACAAATGAGATCAACAAAATAATTAAATTTGATAGAACTTAAACTATTGCGTAACTTGCCATCTGTTGTTTGACTACATGGAATCAATGCAACGGTTGGTACATTTAATGGTGCCTGGTGACGATGTGGACCCCAACTCAAGAGCACTGCTTCCCAAGTTATTTTTCAAAAGTTTGTTTTATTTAACTGTTTATTTAAATAAGAACAATCCTACGATCAGTTGATGTACAGTAAAGTTGATCATACTGCTACAGACACAAAAGTATAAAATTAGAAAACTCAAAATCTGAAAAAGTATAAATCACTGTTTACTGCAGTGATAAATGAAAAAATTTGCTAGTTTATCAAAAATATTGAGTGTGTGCCGTCCTACTAACATATTTTTTTCTTTTTGAATGTTAAATGTAAATTTATGAATAACATGAAAAGTTATTTTTTTTCATCTTTCAGGCATCAGATGTTTTCGGAGCAATCTCAACCAAAACCATGTTACGATACAGTCCGCGAGTATAATGGACTTGATAATGAATTTAAAATTTAACGCATTTTGGAACACTAACTCAGCAGCATTTCACAAGTATATTTTGTGTTCTGATCGAATAGAGTTTGAGAATAATAATGAATATAGAAACATTTGCATCTAGGATTTTATAGCTAACTTTTCAAAATGATTTTTGCAAAAAATAATAATAATAATAAGGACAAAATAAACTTGCGATATTCTATTTCAAATAATTCTTACTTTAAATGTATACAAAATCAACTTTGTGGAAGATTTGCGATGATTTTCAATTTATTAAATGTGTCCAGTTTTTCTAAATAACTTTAGACAAGATGATTCATTTTTTAATTGAGCCAAAAAAGAATTGATTTAACTGTTTGTTTCAATGAAAAGATTTAAAAATTAAAAATTTGTTATGTAACATACGTTCTGCCACATAAAAAGTATGCAAGCCTCGTTAATTATTAAACTACTCAGCCAAATTTAATCGACATTAGAAAATTAAAATGTTTTATAATTATAAAAATTATGTTAAATAAAGTTTATTCGTCATTAAATGAAAATGTATTATTTGTTTCATATGAAACCATTCAAGGATTTTAGAAAACCTAGAAATTCTTGCCATACCCGGCTACCAAAGACAAATGAGGCGTTTGGAATCGAGGAATTTTATTGAATCAATAAGTGGTTCGTGGCAAGTGCAAATGAAGAAATACCTGGAAAGTTCAGAAAACAAGGACAACATTGAAAACGACATCATCTACCAAAATTTTACGACTATTGTGGTAAGATTTTTAATGCGCAGAGGCTTGGCGCTTCCGTATTTGGACTACATCCAAGGAAACAACACCCAATATTTTTTCTCCATGTTTCCATCCACCGATCATTTCAACCATCAATTTGTTTCGCAATACAAAAAGTTGGCTTCCTTCTCCGTCTCATCTACTGATGCTAACGGTTAAAATGTTTTGTGAAAATTTTTTATTCTTTTGATCTTTGTACTTATTTGAAATTGATTAGTGATTATTATTGATTATCTTTATAAAAATAATTTTACAATATGTCAAATATTTATTGTTAAACATCATGCTATTAAGAATTACATCCTCAGTAAATGCATTTTAAGATATTCTTAAAAATAAATCTTTTTTACCTATATACCATTGGCAGTCTTCAAAGAATCACGCTATTTTCTTATCAGTCTAGCTCTATAGGAAAGTAACGTTTTAAAGAAGCCTCACCAATTTAGTTACATTGCATGATACACCCGCGGTTGTAACAGCATGAATAATTAAATAATGCAAATGCAAAATGTGCATGTTATAAGTGCACCTTACTAATAAATCAGAAAATCTATTTAAATTCTAATATTTCTTTTAATAAGCAAAAAGCAGCGAAACACAAAAGACCCACTCAAAGTCTGGTATGGCTACCCAAAACAGAACAATATCAATAGTAACCAAACTGAATAAAATAGAATTATATAAGTGGCTAAAGAAGAAAATGAATCATGAATGAAATGTTCGTGAAATGTTCAAGATTAATAAACATGAATTAAATATCAATTGAACAGTTTACAAACACATATACTAAATAAATTCCTTATTAAGCAAAACCCTCCAACATAGCTAAAATCAATATGATCATTCAAAATTCAAAGGAGACACCCTTAGTTGCACATTAAAATTTACATTACGTGAAATAATTTAAAAATTATAACTAACAATGTAACGTAAAAAGTAATCAGACAATAATATGTCCAAACACGATTTTTTTAGCAAACCAGTAAATAAAGTGAAAAGTTTTTTCACATACACAGACAAAAAGCACCAAAGACGGATTGAAACTGAGTAAAGAGAGTTATGGAAAAATTCTTAATGGATGTGGCGTTTCTCAAATTGTGTATTGGGTGTCAAATAATGGTTAGGCATGGCAGCCTAAAACACCAAAAACCGTCTAACCGTCTAATTAATTTCAATTTTTTTTTAATTTGACCAAATTCAAAATTTATTTATAAAAGCTGATTTTGTCATATTGTCAATTTTGAAGATATTAATAGCGCACAAAATATATCATATATTAAGTTTAAATAATATATAATAGTATTCAGTATTCAGAACGATACTAATATACGAATGACAGCCGTTGAAGTTACGATTTACAAATAGGTAACGTAACACTAGAGGTTAGGAGCTTTCTGTTTGTGGATATCAAGCTTATGAATCTTGTGCCAACAGTTATCAACATTGTTCCACAGCCAGCTCCAGATAAATTAAATGCCACCAACAACAAACTTTATAAAGTAGGCTGATTTTTTTTTATTGCAGTGTATTACATTATCCAAGTTAATTTACACACATTGATCTGTATTTAAATAAATAGGAATATAATTATATATAATATATATATATATATATATATATATATATATATATATATATATATATATATATATATATATTTATTTATTTATTTATTTATATATAATTTTTATTGGTTTTGGGCTCTCCTATCAGTGGTTCGTTTGATTATGATGATGCTGACTTGGCGCTTAAATTGTTACGGATGAAATGATATCTATCATCGACAGGGTAGCTCCACCGCACTCTGTAAAATCTAGACATGTTCCATCGGCGCCATGGTTTGACGACAAATGTTTTTAACGTTTTTGTTAAAAAATTGTTGGATAATTTTTCATAGTGCTCAAGTGATGATATCAGGAGGATAATTTTGGGATCCCCAACAAAGTCATGTCGTTTGGATTGTATACCAACCAAATTTATTAGGACATATTTGTCCATACTTTTTCCATTTCTAACTTTTTTTGTTAATTTAAGTTTAAGTACTGGCATTTTTCCGTCTTCATGTAAGCATGTTTTGGTTACACTAATTTAAAAAAACAATATCTTGACAAAGATGAAATATATAATTATCGCCCTGTATCAAATGTTCATTTCAAAATTGATTGAACGTGTAGTTGCAGTGCAATTCATTCAATGGTTGAATGTACATAATTTTTTTGCTACCTTCTCTCCCTAGCAATGTATCGAAAGGAATTGAAAGCTTATTTATTTTCTCTGGACAATTTTTGATTTTAGTTAATGACATTTTTGAGAAGATTTGAAAAAGTGCCAATCAAACACTCATAATAATAATAGGAAGAAATATCACTGCATTTTCAGCTTTAATTAGTTTCTAATTCGGTTTTTCAATATTCAAATTCGTATCAGATTTTTATTTTTGTTTTTTAATTTTTTGATATAATAATTATAATAATAATGTCATTTTATATAGCGCCATGGCAAGCGACTGAGGCGCATTATCATTACTACAACAAGCACACGGAGCATAGATACACGTGAACCAACGCATCACACAATGCATGTGATAAGCGGGAATCTTTCTGCATTCGAACCCGGACTCTGCCTCAACAATGCCAGGCACTTTAGCCATTAAACCATCGCGCATAGACAACAAAGTTTTTAACTATTCTTCTATTCAATTATATTTTATATAAAAAATGTTTTTTTCGGTAATCTTACTACACTGACACGATGATTAACTATGCATACACAAAGAGTTGCTATAAAAAGTTATTTAATCGATAATCACGAACTATTTGTATCTTGATCTCTTGGCCAAATAAATTATTTTCAAATTCAATATTTCAAATATATATATATATATATATATATATATATATATATATTTATATTTATATATATATAAAGAATTGAAAATTTATTTCACATCAATTTTTGTATTTAAATTTTTACGTCAACAGTTGCCTAATTTTTTCACTTTTAGCAATGACATTCAAAGGAAATTTACTAGACAAACTTCCCTTTTCTATTCTCATACTGTGAGATTAAAAGCTTTTCACTCAAGCATCAAACTTAGTGGTCCGAGGGTATGGGATACTGTATTGCCACATGAAATTAAAACAATCAACTCATTACACTTATTTAAAAACAAGCTAAAAACTTTTTTAGTTAAAAAAACACTTATTTTAAATAGTTTTACACTATTTTACAACTTATTTAATTTTGATGTTCTTAGTAAGCGAATTTTCGAGTCTCAGTTGTGACTATACTGTCACCTTTAGGTACTATATGAAACATGACAGTATTCATATAATGATGTACGTGTGAGCATGTGTTTGTGTGTATGTATTTATTTGACATTTCTGTTACATTTATAGTAAGAATTTGTGTGTATGTATTTATATGACATTTCTGTTACATTTACAGTTGGAATTCTTAGTTAAGGGTGGCCTATCCACAAGTTTATCTTTTTTGGTTATCCTTTAAATAAATAAATATATATATATATATATATATATATATATATATTATATAATATTAATTTCTTTTTATCCTCAAAAAGGTCAAAAACGTTAACATTGTTGTTGGTAATGAAACAGTAATTAACGACCGACACATTGATGAACCAGTTGACGGCATCACTCCAAACTCCATCACGGACCTTAACGTAAACAAGAGCAGCAATGGTCAGATTGGCAGCTTTATTTCTTACAAATTGCATACAAATGTTCTTTACAATTATGCATTCAACTGATTTCTGTTCTAACATAATTTGCCTTTACCATTATATGCAGTTGACAACAAAAGTGATTCAAGTAGCGAGTTAAATCTTCAAAATGTACCAAACGGTAGCAATTATGTCAATGAAGTCGATCCTTATGAGTCTGTAGGCATGTTGAAAGAGATTTCTTTTAAAAGGTCAACAATTTTTAAATTATGGGTGTGTTGGTTATGAACAATTTAATTCTGTAGAATCTAGTCAATAATTCCAAAAGAAAATATTTAAACTTATCGTTTGAATTAAAAAAGTACAATACTCGTCAATCGAACAAGTTTTAAGTTGCATGCTACCAGCCGTCAAACAGTAAATTTATTAGGCTGGTTACGAGGACTGTCTGATCGTGTTGCAAATATTTAATACCTTATCAGCATCATAGTATCAAATTAATAAATATCAGGTAATTAGTCTAAACCACCATTACGCCCATGGACAGACTCATTAGTTCATTGTTGTTTGTCAAAGTGACTGCATACAAGACGAATGAGCTTACGGGTTCTAATGATGACAAGTTCAATGTCAAGGTTCAATTTGACAACCTTCCCACGGTTAGTTGTTCAAAAATAATTTTAGTGATAATAAATTGTTTGTTTGTTTGTTTGTTTGTTCAGATATTTTTTGTGTTTTATCTATAATTCTGCTCAGAAAAAATCTTTTATTTGTTTTCACAATATTTAGATATCAATTGTTAATTGACAGTTGATTTTGGGCTAGTGCGGTGATAGCTGAATATAACATTACTATTTTGTGCGTTTTGTAGTGCATTTTTATATTCATCATAGGACAAAAATGTCTCGTCAACACGTTGTGGTTGGTATCCATATGACAACCTGCTTGCAGCAACCAACCCAAATAAATTCACCTCTGGAGCGTTTGATCCTAATCTTTGGCGATTCGATTGCATGATTGAATTTGTCGCCAGTTCCGTTACCTGTTACTGCAATCGGACAGGCTTCATCGGAGTTTTTGAAACTTTAGGGGTTTTTCATTTTGTAGTATAAAAAAATATAATTTTATCATTCATGAAGCTTGTTGGATATTTGAATAGATATTCTAAATCAGCATACATTTTTTTTGTTCAGGTGCAGAGTTTTGTTTTGGTCGCAAGAAACTTTGACACTGCCGTTTTTCTAGTAAATTAATATTTTCAAAACAATTTGATTTATTTTTTAATAGATTTTCATAAAAACATTTTCATTTTTTAAACTATTGAACTAATTATAGATGAACACCTTCTTAAAGCTTGAATTTTGAATTAATTATGAAAATAAATATTGACTTTTCAAATGAGCAGAACTTCCCATACATCGCTGAGTTGAATAAGGTGGGAATGATCATGAGAGCTGTTTCTATTGCATCACTCATACTCACCATACTCATGCATGCTCTCAACAAGTTCATCAATTTTTCAACTTTTTAATTATTTTAAAATTAAATTTAAGGTATTTTTTTACAAAATAAAAATATTTGAATTCATTAAAAAAAATTGTTCAAAGAGATTTTGTTTAGTTTTTAATGAAAATGTGAAGCACATATATTAACCAACGTTAAATATTTTGTAGAATAGTAAAATAACGAACAAATTTGAATTTAGAAACTTAACACATTTCTTTTTGGCACTAGTCACGTTATCTGCGTAGCAAAAGTCACGCATTTACTTTTTTGCAGGAAGATCCTGAAGGGCATGGCGGCCAAAGTGTTGATTAATTTGTGCGTATCTCTGATTTGTTTGCTGCTAGTGCTCTACGTGGCTGATTCGAGATGCAACAACAAGAACGAATGCTGGATCTATAACGCGCTCAGGTGTGGAAATATTCATCTGTAACAATTACATTTCTGGAAAAATTTATTTAATCCGTCTTTTTTGAATTGATTTACACGATAATATGTTCCTGTCTAATCAGTGAAGGCAGGTTTGAAATAATTTTTATTAATTGTTTATTAATCTTCATTAGCCTTTTAACTTGCTATTTTTAAAGCAGTTAATTTTTGTTATTAAAAATTAAGCTAGATTCAATAAATAAATTAAAACAGGGTTTTTTTTATTCTTAGCATTGATTTGGTTCTGAAAGAAAAAGACGCAAATTGTGTACAAAATTTTAAAACATGAAATGAACTTTTAGAAAAAATTGAAATAAAAAGTTAGAAAAATTAGCGTGGTCGAAATGAAAAGTGTTTAAAACGTAAAAACTCGTCAGATACTACCTCGTGATGGTGACGTTGATGTGGAACGGCGTGGAAGCATACAACATGTACTGCATGCTGGTGCTGGTCTACCACAATCACATCAATAACTTTATTTTCCTTTCTATCTGTATTGCATGGGGTTAGCCTGAGAACAGCAAAGCAGAGTTTTGTGTTGTACTTTAATAACAACTCTCTTTTCAAACAGGTCTCCCAGCCTTGTTAGTGTTGATCATTCTGTCAGTGGATGGAACCGCTTTCGATGGAGCTTATGAGAAATGTACTTTCAGGCAAGTAGTTACTTGACTATAATTCTAGATTAATTAAAAAATTTGTGTTCCACTGTTTAAATACTAATCAGATGTGGTCTAAAAGAGAGAACACTCTACTATGCTTGGATAATTCCAATGTCCATCATTATCACCCACAACTTCATCGTTTTCGTGATGGTCATGAGAGTCCTCTGCAGAGATAAATCTCACCTGCATAAAAGTATTTTTTTCATTTACTTGTGGGAGTTGTTGATTTATTTCACTCAAAGTAGTTTTGCTAGTCATTGAATAATTTATTCAAATATAATGACCGTTAAGATGTAATGACTATTATCACTATTTTAATAAAATAAAATTGGAATTTTAATCTTTAACTTTAACCTTTTGATAATAAATATATTTAAAATTTATGTAAGGACTAAACTTAAAAAAATATATAAGTTTGCTTTCGACAATCCTGATTTATAGAAAAGATAAATTCCAGGTAAATATATCAAGCTAATAACATACAATAATAAAATTAACCAGACATAAAGTATTTTTATACAATTGTAAAAAGTCTAAATATAAACGAAGGATAGAAATTCAAGGAATACTTAAACATAGATAATTAGATGAAATATAATTTACAAATCTAAAAATATACAAAGTCCCGAACAAATTTTGTTGTTTCCTAATTTTTCACTTTGGTTTCGACAATACCATTGAAATCTTACTCAAGTTTAAATACTTTCAATTAAATCAGTAAGTTATATATAATATCAAAATGTTGGAATTTTTTCAGCATAAAAATAAAAAATAAAGAAAAATCATTTCAAGAAAGTTACGTAGAAGCAACTGTGCTGCTGTTTGTATGTTGCATGAAGTGCGTTTAAAATTTCAATGTAGCCATTCGGAACAAACTTCTCTTTAATTTGTTTACAAATGCTTTTAAAGTTTCATTTGTGAAATGAACCTTTAGCTCTGCAGCACATTTTGCTTAATGACTATAAATCATAATTAGCAGACTATAAAAACCGTCAATATTTGTTTATTACAGAATATTTTTAGATACATGCTTAAAATTATAAAGGTGCGGAAAAAAAGGATATAAAATCTCGTTTGATGGGTGCTTTTACGCTGTTGGTCCTGCTGGGCATACCCTGGATACTGAGCGCTTTTGGAGCTATAAAGAATGACGTCAATGATTCTGTAAAAAATTTTCAAAGCGTAATTGGGGTAAGTTGATGTTTAGCTGCGCTGTATTTCAAATTTGTCAAATACTTTCACAATATGTAAGTTGTGTTATGATTAATTTTTATTCTAAAAGTTTTTTTTATTGGAATGAAATAAAATAAAATTTGTGCTAAAAGCAATTTTTCAAAATTGTTTAGTTTTTTGACGTTTTTGATAAATTAGGAAAATTGAAAAATTGAAAATGGGCCATTCGGCATTCACTCATTCCTAGATCTTTAGAAAAGCAGACCCTCAATTTTTGTGAAATTTACGATCAAAATCAATCCGCTCATCATATAATAGAGCGCAAAAAATACAATAAGATTAGAAATAAACTCAGAGTTCAATTGTTAAAAATCTGAAAGTGTTAATCTCATTTCTGAAGGAGATCAATATGTTAAACAAGATCTAAAGAATCACCAGATACAAATAGTCACAAAACCAGTTTCGTGACGACCACAGGGCGTAAAGATAGCCTCTTTGTGCTTAAACGCCGTTAAACTGCAAACAACAACATAATAAAAGAAGAAATCTATCCGAATAAATTCGATTTTCCGGATCCTATAGAAAAACTGTTTGCCGAATTAAAAGCCTATTTTAATAGAAGATCCGATCAACAAACAGTCGAAATTATTGGAATAATGTGATCAGTTTTGGAAGAATATCAATCAATGAAGAAACAATAGGAAACATCACAGAAACGAGTGTACACGAGCCTGAAATTATCCTACCGGCTTATTCATAAACGAATCATAGGCACCCGCAGAAAAATTTTTAGGAGGGCATGGGTGCCGGCCGACAAATTTTCTAGAGTGGAGCAAAATATTTTTAGTGATGTTTTTATGCAGTTTTGATTTACAGAGCCTATTTTTTAGACATTCGTTCCTAGAACTTGTAAACAAAAAGAAGCTAAATAAATATTTTATTTTTTAAATTCTAGTTAGTTAATAAATATTAAGCTTAGAATTAACATACATAATGTACATTTTAATGTAATTGAACAATTTTGAAGAGTCGACTAGATTATTAATGTGATGCTACAAAATTTTATCGTTCAACCTGATCTGCTAAAATGTTTTTCAAAATCCAAGGAGGGCATGTGCCCCCATGCAGGCGCCAATGCTACGGACGATTTTGACCGCGATGCACGTGTTGACGGAAAGAAAGAAAGCAGTTACCGTAATGATGAAGATGATGACGAAAACGAAAAGAAAGTTTTTGAGAATATTAGTGAAGTTGTATTGTTTTGCTACATGTATTTACACGCGGATCTTTCTGCTAACTCGCCTGTTTTCATCGATAACGACAGCAATGGTAATAATAGCTACAACGATTTCGATGCAACACTCACCAACTATTCAACTTTAGATGATTATTTTGATAAGAAGTTGGTAGTTACGAGAGTCAAGGATTACATCAATATTTATTAATTTTGGTTAATTTATCGTAACACTAAATTTGAATGAGTTGTTGATGTGTTCAAATTTTTTATTTTTCATGTATACCAGCAATTAACTTTGAGAAAACACGTTACAGACAATCTTGGTGATCTTCATCAGCTTGCAAGGCCTGTTCATTTTTTTGTTCCACTGCATGTGCAATCGCTCTGTTCGTAGTGAGTGGAGCAGTTCCTTCAGCTGGAAAGGCAGGTTATGGTCTCGTTGGATGTCCAGGAACACAGTCTCCGCGGCAACCACCAGCTCCGACGCCAACAACGTCAACTCCACGAAACATCGTACTCAGTGATCTGAAAACCTCCACAAGGTTTGGCTTGAGTCCAACTGAGATTTGATATCTAAAACATTTTTAATAAATGACAACTATTTTTGTTTCATATTTTTTTTCATTTGTTTGGAACTTTAACTATTTTGACATTACAGAACTTCTAATCGAAAATGTATTTTATATTCAAATAAAAAATGCGAAAGTTTATTTCATAATCACTGTTTGCAAATATCACGAAAATTATTGACACGGAATTAGTTTCAGTAAAAAATAAGAGACGTTTAACACGCATCAGTGACTCGAAAGTGGTTTCCATCCTATCGAGAAGAATAACAGTTCTCAGAGAAATTTGTTTTTGTACTTAAAATGAATCTAAGAATAAAGTTTCGTTTTTATATACCATATAACGTATGCACTAAGCTTTTTATCAGCTCAACATTTTAAAAAAAATTTTATAATAGAAATATTATGAAACATATATCAAGCATAATATCAAACAGTCCTAATTATAAAAAACATTCAAGCCTCAATAGAGTATGAAACGTTTTTATGGTAAAAATATTGTCTAAAGTGATATTTTAAAACTTCAAGTTTAAATGTGCATTCAAGTTATTTTAGAAATTGAAGTAAGCCTTTGAATAGGTTTGTGGGCTACACCATCAGTTCATAACTATGAAATATAATCATTATAACCAGACATATATCTAGCCCGCACTATATGAATGTTTAATTCTATCATTGAAAAACTACAATCACCATCAAAAATTAACAAGCTGGTTTAGATTGTAAATACCGCCTCTACACGATGATATTTTAAATATTTTATGTATTTTTTTATTTCAATCGAAATTGATTTTAGGCTATAAATAATCAGTCACTCTTCATTTGCTTTTTTAATAATAAAACCGCAGGATAATTTGAAGATATTATAAATGGAGAAAACAAGACTGCTTAAGCAAAAAGACCACCTTAAAAGTAAGTACATGTATTTTAAACTAGTACTACCTTAAAACGATGATTATTATAAAGATCAAAGAATTGAGAATGTAAATTTTGAAAAATGAAATAACTGTAATTAAATTTCAGTTTTCCATTTGGGATAAAATTTCTCAAAAAAAAATCTAACAATCGAAACAGTGTTTAAATTAAGGAGCTTGAGAATCTTCCTTTTGGAATAAAATTCTTCAAAAAGACCAAAAATAAATTAATCTGACAATCGAATGATTGTTTAAAGGAACTTAAATTGTTCTTGTCGTTTGCGGTTCACTTTTCACATATGTTTATCAAGTGTAAACCATCATTAATTTAAGCGGTTACAACTTTATTTTTCATACTTTCGCACATTTAGAAAAAAATTTACATCAAGACCTTATTAAATTCGAACAACTCGAAAATTGTTGTTATACACCTTGCCAATCTTACCGTTGTAATGATTTATTAAAAATTTAAAACAAAGTAAAAAAATATATAAATTTTATTGATAATATTATAACGATATTCATAAATTACAAGCCACACAAAAAAACATAAGCAGCACACAAAAAACAAAATTCTGAAAAATGTTTGCTTTAAAAAGTTTATTCAAGTCAAAATTTTTTTATGATTTGTAGCGTTCACTTAAAATTGACTCCATCCCCGCTCATTAATTTCGATATCTAAAATATAATGATGAATAATCTAATTTTCCGCGGTAAAGTTATTTTCAACCAAACCAGATGATAACGTAGAAACCGTATTTTTGCTTTTGAGATAGGAAAAGATCGAAGTTTCCTTCCAACTGATGGAATACTCCACTCATGAGGCACAGATCTGTTGCATGCACAGTGAAACAAAAATATGAACAGTCCTTGCAAGCTGATGAATGTCACCAGAATGACCTGAGTGAAAAGAAAACAATTAAAATAGAAATTCAAAACAAATTTCAAACCTTTGAAGTAAATTACATAATTTAAATAAACTCGTAAAGCAATATATCTCCGTTAAACTAAATTTACAAAAAAAAACAAATAGTCTAACTCCAATAATTCCTTTAAAAAGCTCTACTGAGTCCATCTCTTCATTCTTCAGAGCTCCAAATGCACTCAAAATCCACGGAACGCCCAGCAAGACCAACAAAGTGAGAGCTCCCGCCAATCGAGATTTTGTGTTTTGTCTCTCTTGATCTTAAGAGGAATAGTAAAAATTTGCTCTGTTATGGATTCATTTAAACAAACTCGTTTATAAAACTTGCGTTCAAAGCGATAACATTTCAAATGAATTATATTTATTTAGTTGGTGTCATTCAACATTTACCAGTTTTGTTCATATTAGGAGAACTTTTGCACAGGACTTTTATAACCATAGCGAAAACTATGATGTTATGCGTTATTATGACCAACATTGGAAACAGCCAAGCAAAATAAAGCGTGTTGTTCTTCAGACCGCATCTGTTTATTAGAAGGTTAACAACAAACACAAAACTAATCCATCGTTTGAAATTATTTCCTGGCACCTGAAAGAACAATTGATGTAGTCTCCATCAAATGCTGTCCTGTCTACCAACAGAATAAACAACGCTAACAAGGCTGGAAAACCTGTTCCATTGGAAAGATGTCGATATCATTTTTTAAAAATGAAAAAATAGACGATTTTCAAATTTTTGTAAACATTTGAATTGACAGATATAAATATTGTGTGCAATAATTTTAGCTGGTAACAATTGTTATAACAACCCCAAGCAATGCAGTTTGAGGTGAGAATGAAGTGACTGACGTGACTGTTGTAGACCACCACCAACATGCGATACATGTTGTGCGCCTCCACTCCATTCCACATCAGCGACACCAGCACGAAATAATATCTTCAAAGTGCAATAATTTCAACTACACTTCTTTATTTGAATTCAAGTCTTAAACGACTACTTTAACCGTGTCAAAACAATTGAGTAATTGGATAAAGTCCTATAGCAACAAAAATAATGAACGTTTTGTAAAACTTATTAAAAACCTTAAAACGTTGTAGATCCAGCATTCGCTTCTTGTGTTGCATCTGAAATCAGCAACATACAGTACCAGCAACAAACAAATCAGTGATATGCACAAGTTAACCAATATTTTTGTGGCTATTCCTTTGCGAGTAGTTCTGTCAGTTATATAGAAGGATGCATTAAACACTTTTAAATTGAGTCTTATAAAGAACTAACGGTTTATAAGACATTTTAATAAATAAAAATGATTATAGTGAAAAAAGTATGGAAATCAGTGAGATGTAAACTTGAAAATGGCATAAGTGAGGATGGTGAGAAAGAGGGAAACGATGGACACCGCCCTCATGACCATTCCTGCAACGCTCAACTCTTCGATGTAAGGAAAGTTCTGAGTGGTTGCAACAAAATATTCTCTGACGCGAATTGTAACATGTTTTTAAGAAATCTTTTTCTAAAATTTAACTAAAATTTTAAACTTTAATTTCAACATTTTCCGAATTATTAAAAAAATTAATTAAATAACTAATTATTTTTCAAAATCTAACCAAAAACTCAGCAATGTTAGTTTTGCTCGTAACAAAATGATAACCATTTGACTGCTGAATAAAAATGTTTTAGATACAAATTGTCAGTTGAAATTGAAATTTCAGAATCACAATATTTATTTAACATCATAAAAATAAAACATTAAAATGAAGCATGTTCAAACACATAGACATCATTTGAAACAAACATCCTGAATCATGAAAATAGCAATAAAGCCCGTTTCGTTGCAGAAACATGTTATGGAACTTTCAAGAAATTCAATGGCGCAATCAAATTTCCACAATTCAGGTGTAAAAATCTTAATATTGTTAGGGATGGTTTTGTTCTCAAAAATGTTTTCATTGATGCCGACCAAATTTTCGTAATCGTATCGGCCACAGATTGCTGATGAAATTTTTTCCCCTATGAATAAACATGAATAAATGTTAATTAATCAATCTTTGTACTTCAGTTATAAACTGAAATTAGAAAAGTTTAACATTTTTTGTATGAAAGGAAACAGATAATTATTATTATGAATCGTTTATTTACAAACTAATTCCCAAAAAAGATTGAATTGTAATTATGTGTTAAAATTATTTAGCTATTCATTTGTCAGTTTTTTTTACAGTTGTCAGTTTTTTGCACTTTCGCCGTAAATTATTTATCCAGTTTTTTTACAACAATTGACAACAAAATTAGCTGAAAATGAAAGACTGTGCTATATAGTTTTAGTATTTAATTGAAAATTGTTTATGCACTATTTGAATGCCTTCACGTTTGAGCTACTGATCAAAACGAAACTTATTTACTCTCATTCAATCTTCTTCCTTTCTCGTGTCTTATCTTTTCAGGACATTGGCTACCATGGACCTCCAAAGAACCCGATTTTTAACATTTTGTAGTAGCTGAAATGTCATGTTTAACAAGTGATGAAAAGGCTTCACAAATGTTGTTCGTTGTTGACCGCGATCTCTTCTCCAGTAGTTGTTAGAATTTCCATTCTTTCCTCTCGCATGATGTGACCAAAAAACTTCAACTGCCCCTGTCGGATTATCTGTAGTAATTTCCTCTTTTCATAACCGGAATGTTTAAACATATCATCATTCGAAGTATGAGAGGTCCAACTAGTTTTCATTATTCTTCTCAAAAACCACATTTCAGCAGCGTTAATCTTTTTTCTTTTTTTCTGGAATTTGCCCAGGACTCAGAGCCGTAAGTTAGCACAAGAAAATTGTAACTCTGTAACAGTTTTAATTTTGTTGATATTCTGATTTTACTGTTGGTGAGGTGGTTTTTTATTCTAAAATATGCACCTTTTGCCATAGCTATCCTTCTTTTTTATCTATATCACATTTACAACCTGAAGTAATCAGATTATCGAGAAAATTTAGGCTGTTGACTTGTTTCTCCGGTTTGCCACAAATGATTATGAAGCAGGTCGGTGCATTCTGTTTTGTTGATATTAACTTGCAAGCCTTTCCTTTCACTTTCAAAAACTAGTTTGAAAACAATTGTTTGCAATTTTTCCATTGAATCTGCTATAAGAGCTGTATCATCAGCATATATTACACTGTTTATATTCACGGCTCAAATGGATTTTCCGGTAAATTTTCTATCTTTCTCATGATGATCTCACTATAGAGATTGTACAAGTCTGGAGAAAATATACAGCCTTGCCTAGCACCTTTTTTTATTTCGACAAAACTAGTAATTTTGTTATAAACTTTCATCGCTGCTCTTTGGTCCCAATGGAGGTCTTTGATAACTCTCGTGTCTTTTCCATCACTGTCCAAATTTTCCAATACTTCCATAAGCTCCATGTGTTTCACGCTATCAAAAGCTTTAGAATAATCGACAAAACATATAAACAAGTCTTCTTTATTTCAATCGCTCGTTCGCTGATCATTCGTAGCATTAAAATTGCGTTTCCCGTGCCACAATCTTCGACAAAACCACATTTGAAATTTCAGATCGGATTTTGCATCGTGCTCTCTTTATCAGAATTCTCATGAAAAGTTTTTTAGATGACTCCTCAAACTGATTGTTCGATGTAGTTCACATTCGGTTGCATTAGGTTTTTTAGGCAGTGCAATAAATATTGACTTGGATGGTCTCATTAAATAATCATGGCCTTATTATATGAGAAATTCTCAACCTCAGAAAACAGGACTTATTCTACTGTTCAAAACCTTAATTTTAAATTCAAATTATAACCTTTTACAAGTTTCAAAATTCTTTTTTCCATGTAATTCTATTTCATTTCATTGTATTTGAATTGATTAGGCCAAAATAAACAAATGAGACGAATGAGACATTTTTTATCCAACGTATGTTGCTTTATAAAGTTTGTGTAGTTTTTGCAACCATCCATAAAAAACAATTTAGATTTTTAGTATCTTAGATTAATTACAAAAAAGTATTCACTGATAAACAACGAAAAAGGACCAAATAGAAAGAGTAATGGAAAGGTTAAACAGCTTAAAAGCCAAACATATGAAGCGTACTTTGAATAGCACAGTATGAACCTTTCACATAGAAACCTAATCACTAGTGAAATGCTTAAGAATCAATCAAAATTTTGTAGAATTGATAGTATGGTTAGCTTTTCGAAAATAATAAGAAAAAATGTCTACTGATTTTGTGAAAATGTGGTACATCACGAGGATAGCAGTAACCGATTGATTCAAATAATTACAATAATATGAATTTTTTTTCAATTTAAATCACATCAAAATAAATTTCTGTGTACATATGTTTCAAAATGACTAACCGGATCGAGTTTTTCAAATCTAATTTTGGAAGAAAACTTCTGATCCTCAGAAGCAACGACGTCGTTGTACCTGTAAGCTTTGATCTCAACAAAGAACAAGGGACTGGACAGACTTCTGAGATAAATAAAAAATGAAGTTGATGGTGGTTGTGGACTCAAAAAAAGAAAAAAAAATGATGAAATAGAACGCAAAACTTTGAAATTAATTTATAAAAACTTACGCTGTTAATTTGATTTTTTTTTACATATAATTCTGAAACTAATTATTGGTAATATTCACAATTGAACGTATTGTTGTAAATCCTTGACCTTGTAACTACCAACACCTATGTTATAACTTCAACAATCTCTACATCTCCAACACCAGTGTTGTAGCTTCCAACGATCGTCAAATGTTCGCTATTCTGTAGGTTCAAGATTTCCGAAAGATGAACACGACTGCTTCAAACGCAAACTTTGAATACCAAAAATATTAGAAACAATAAATTAATCCAAATAACTACAAAAATACATTTACGACTTTGCATTATCTTCTTTTGTAACCTACCCTGATTAAGGCTCGCTCGTAGGTCCTATTTATAGCCAATTTTACAATCATAGATATAATATTTTTATACACTCAGTGGTCTAAAAATCAAAAATTACAAAAATATTGCATAATAAGTTCCCGCGATCATAACAGTAATGTTAGTTTGGAGTAGTTTGAGATTTTATTAATAAATACAGTCGATATTATGTTATAATTTTGTTCATTAAACAGCTATGGAAAGTTCATAATCTTTATTTTGCTTATTTTGTTAATTTAAAATGAAACAGCTTGTTTTGAAAATTAGAAAAATATCATTTTATTATCTCAAATAAAATTGTAATTTAAAAGCTTCCAATGTTTTGACATATTCAGCATTCATACAACATGCATTCAATTCACAATTTTTAATCTCTCAAACCCATCACATGGTTATTATCAAAAATGAAAATATTTTAAATTTTCTTAAACATCAATAACATGGATCTAAACGTACAGAATTCGGCGCATCACTCTTAGATGGAGGTATAGTAACGGAGAGTGGGTTGTAGTCAACTGGACCGACGATGGACAAACTTTTCATACCAAACATGAGAAAACTTCTAATTTCAATGGTGACTGCTATACAAAAATAATAACAGGTTAATTTTAGTTTGTTTGACTATTTTATTCATCATCAGTTTTGTTAACATCAACATTATCATCGTAGCCCTGCATTCAATTGAAATTCATCAAATTAAATGAAGTACAAAATACAAAGGTTTAAATTAACAATTCAGCATCGGCTAAGAAAATAGAACATGAACAACAAATTAATATTTCACTCTAAAAGTTTTGATCTTTAAAGTTGAGTTAATTTTTTTATTAATTTTGTGTTAATATATTTCGGAAGCATCAACTTTGATCAGCGAATCACTCACATTGCATGTGATTTATTTTTTTATTTATTCGGTTCAATCTTAAAAAAAAACAGAAAAAATAATAAGCCACCACCCAAAATAAAGTGCATAGATGCATCCCAGTTTTGCAAATGAAATTATAGTCATAATCGATATTACATTTTCATTTTTAATATGGAGAATCTAACCAGGATTGGCGAAGAACGTTATAGACAGTTGAGCCAACGTTTCGTATCTTCGCACAAATTTGTGGTTGAAATAATCTGTGAATGGGAACATCGAGAACATATATTGGGTGTTGTTTCCTTGAATGTAGTCTATATATGGTAGCTTCCCATATCTGCGCATTATGAATCTTATCATGCTGGTCGTCAAGATTTGGTAGATGATAACTTTTTCAATTTTATTATCGTTAAAATTGAGTACATTGATGTCATTTGAAGAGTTTTCTGAATGCTGGTCAGCGTTTTTGCTTTTGTTTGTTTTAATTTCTTCAAGACAATACATGAGCTTATTGCCATCCCACTTCGTATTGTTCAACTGCTTTTTGAAGCAAGGTATTAGAAACATTTCTTGATTCATTATAATTCTTCAATAATGATAAATGTTAGTCAAATAATGTTTTCATTAAAAAACGAGTAATAACACTTCAATAGGTCATATAGTCGAATCAGGAAAACAACATCAAAGTGATTTACGGTTAACAATTATAAAATAATTCTGTAAAAAAAAAATTTGGCGTGAAGCGTTTGCAACAAATGGATTTAAGGGTTCCGTAGTGTGAATTAGCATTCCTTTTAAAAGAAAAGTGAAATAGAATCTATTGTAAGTGAGAAACATTGACTAAAGAAATAAATAGTTATGAGCACGTTCATTTAATTCTTGTACTAAGATAATTTTAATCCGTTTCGTACACAACTGCGCGTTCCGTTTGGCGAAATTTTTTTTGCTCGAACTTGTTAATGTATTTCTAATAATAAAATAATTAAATTAATTTTTTTGATTGAATTTGTTAATGTATTTCTAATAATAATTAAATGATTGAGTTATCAAGAAGACTAACCCTTCGAATAACTTTGAGTTTTCACTCCAGAAAGTTTTAAAGTGTTCCTCAAGGAGGAAATCCTTTAAAATGGAAAACTGTTTTACTCTCAAATCATTTTCTACATTTTGAATGAAACAGTTGAAACTTGAAAATATGATTAATTGAATGAATGAATGTTTTAAATTTTATAATTATTTGATTAGCGATATGTTTTTTATCATTCAGGAATGAAATAAGGGAAAACAAGCTGTGGAGGATCTAGATTTCTGTTGATGACCCTTTATTGCTACTCAGATTACCTTATTACTCTTATTACTGTGGTAGAAAATTATGGAATGAGCTGCCTTTAGATGAAGTGAATATAACCAATATAAGGTCATTCAAGCTTTCACTCAACGAAATTGTCTTTAAAATGGTTTGATTTAATTTTATTTTTTCACATTATACTGTGTTGTATGAGTATCTGTTTATTTTATATATGGAAATCTTCGTAACAAATTTTATTTAGTTTATTTTAGGTATTTTTTTTATTCTGTTTGACTTAATTTGTGCAATATTAGTTAATGTGATCTGCACAAGCTCGCTTATTTGATCTCCTGGTTTTTGCTAAATAAAAGAATAAAAAAAATTACAATCATCCAAAGCTGTTTCTTCAAAATTGGTTTTTTCAAAATTTCTACAACAGCATGTTTGAAGGTCATAATATATTTTTTTGAAACATATATTTATGAAAACGTTAAAAGCGGTCAAACAATTTTAAAGAAATGTTTTGAACTATTTTTCCATTTTTTTTTCGCTTTTTATCAATTTGTGCTTAAACAAAAGTTACTTTACCGATATGGCTGGTAAAGTTATAAGTCAACTTTTCTTCTCATGTTTTGAATTTCTTGGCGAGGTCATAACCACTAGCTTATCAGCAACTTGTAATGGATTAAATATATATATGCCTCCACATTTGTTTATTTTTTCAAACGCTCCAAGCTAAAAAAAACTTGATTTACGCTTCAATCTTAAATTAAAAAATAGAATTTGCATGTGTATGTTTGTGGTGTGTTTGTATATGTGTGTGTATGTGTGTGTGTGTGGTGTGTTGTGTGTGTGTGTGTTCATGAAAAATTTTATATACTTTTAAAAAACAATAAAGCAAGTAGAGCGTATGAATCCTGTTCAATGGCAAATTTTTCGTCTTCTTTCGTATTTTGCATGAGTTGTAACATTGCGTCCATGTACTGAAACATCAAGGAACACGTCACGTTGTAATGGAGATTCTAATGTTATTTTATTGGTTAATCATTTAATTATTATTTGACATTTAGCATAAAATTTATTGTGTTGAATTTTGCAATTAAAATTTTGTGGTTCATGAAAATTATTAATTATGTAAAACCAGGGAATCGAAACGGAACTGAACCGTAACCGAAAACGGTTAAAAACCAAAATTTTGTTTGGAACAAAAACCGTAACCGAACCGAAATATTGTTTGCTAGTTTAACCGAAACCGAAAACCGTAACGAAATAAATAACGGTTCGATGCTAAAAATTCATAAGAAAATATTTTTGCCAAATTCAGAAAAAAATATTTAGATTCGTCTTTTAAAATTCTGTGTTAATTTTTATTTTCTTTGAAAATTTGTTATTTCTCTTTTCGTTTTTATTCGACTGAGTTTGCCGATAATTTGAGTAAAAATTGCCACGTGAAGAAAAATCAAGTATACCTAATCGGAGAAATTAGAGATCAAGTGTGATCATCTTCAAAATTATTTTGATGTACCAACTACACAAGTGAGCCTGGAAGCATCTGTTTCTGGATTAAAATTAATCCTCAGAGACTACAGAAGTGGTTTCAATGAAAACATTTTAAAAGATATATTAATAATCAGAAAAAATTTTCATCCTTTTTGAAACAATCATAAATATATTAATGATTTCAAAATATCTTTGTAATGATTGTTTTAATTTGTTGAAAAAAATATTAGAAACGTTTCCTTTTATACTGACAACATTTAAAAATCATTTTTGTTGTTGATTTCATATAATTCACAATCTAAAATTTAATTCAATATGGCATTGTAGTGATAGTTGGATGTCCGTGTGTCCGCTACATGCGTTTAAAGAACTGTACTATAAAAAACCGATATTATTTCAGAAAAGAAAACCGGAACCGAACCAAAATTCGTTTTGCTGATTGAACCGAAACCGTAAACCGAATTAATTACGGTTCTATGCCCTGTGTAAAACACACTGGATGATAAACAAAAAGATGGCAATTAGTATTTATGCTGATTTTACAGAGGTAAAAAGTCAATCACGAGCATCTAAGGCATCAGCTAAAAATTTAAGGTAAACTGTATGATTTAAAAGTGAAAGTTTAATAAAATCAGGCAAAAAAATATAAACTCATTGAAAAAACACTGATTTCAATTGAGAATAGAAATAAGAGCAAAAATATAATATTTGTTAAAATTTTTGGAAAATAATTAGAAGCCAAGGATGGAGAAAATGCATATAAATTCATGAAGGAACTACACCGGATAAATAAGAAAAATGTCAAAAAAAACGCCTAGCACTGCACTGGAGGTCTTCAGAATAATAATAATAATAATGTCAATTATTCGGCGCTCTATGAATAGCAGCAGAGACGCTTGTTGCTGATGGTGAAAGGTCTAGATTCCTGTTAGCAATAAAAAAACCTCGGATGTTTTGTGTAGATGGAAAAGTATCACACGCGCAACACACATGGACTCTTTTTTACGAAAGGAAAAAAGAGTGCTGCTTTTCGGCCAAAAAGCAGCGCTCGTTTACGAACGTCAACAAACCATTGACGTCGTAACCATAAAATAATGCATGATTGCTCCATCAGATTCATTGAACCGATTTTAAGAGCATTACCAAAAAAATTGAAAAAAAGATTAGCAGCTCAAAAACTTAGATTGAAAGAATTTTTGAAAAAGTTTTCACAAGCAGGGTGCCAGATAAGGAGATAAAACAAAGGAAAACTACTGAACAACAATCTCTTGAAGAAAAAAAAATTAATAGGGCTGCTGGAAACGTGGTATAATTTGAAAAATTTATAATTAATTAATTTATGAAAACCGAAAGATGGAAAATAAAAATTAAAATCAGAGTAGATGAAGAGATTAATTGTGAAACAATCTGAAAAACGCCGAATAGACACAGAAAAAATTAACAATAAGACCTTAAAAAAAGGACGGAAGACATTCCACAGGACAACAAAAGAGAGAGGATGCCATATAGAAATCTGCAGCTGGACGCGATAGAAGTTTGCAAATGTAACTGAATTTAAAAATTGCATCAACATGATGGCTAATATTGAAAATTAAAAACATTGTATAAAATTTGAAATGAATAAAACTATTTAATGACAATTTTTTGAACAATATTGGTAATTTTTATAACTCAACATTTTTTAAAAGATTACCTTTAAAGATTCCAAAATGATTTCTTTCTGCACTATAACCGGTTGTCTTGGACATTTATTCGAAATTAAATAAGTCCACCTACTCTGAGACAACATATCAGGGATAGAGAATAAACAATCTTGGTAAATATATTTTTTGCTAGAATCAAGATCTTCTTTGTAGCTTCCTAAATTATTGTAGTTCAAGAAAGCGTAGTTTGTGATGCCGTCTAGAAATTGAAGCTCCACAAGAAAAGGAACGTCATTATCGTTAATGTTATAACGGTCCTTTTTGTTGCTGGATTGGTTGTTGATTGAATTGCCAAAGAAAAATTTTACTACTTTATCAATGTAATAGAAATGACATTTTTGAATATGTCTCATTCCTGTTGTGTGAATGCATTTAATTTTTACATAAATAAATTTATCTGACTGATGACTACGACAACAAACAGACAAAAACCAATGAAACAAATAAAATCACAATTGATCTTTTGATCTTTTTTCATATATGTATTTATATATGTATGTATTCTGGATATTGATATATAAAGGAAAAAATATATAAATACATATATGAAAAAAGATCAACTGTACTTTTTTGATTTTATTTGAGATTGGTACAGAAGTTAAAATTAAAGGTAAAATACCCAAGTGAATAAGAGAATGGTTATCTAATAGGCCTCAAAAGCTGATCATATTGGAGCATACGTCAAATTGAAAAAAATGTTACTGGTGGCGTATCACAAGAATCAGTACTGGGACCACTACCTTTCACTCTGTACATAAACAATATCGACAGTCAAATTGCTTCTTGGTTAGCCAAGTTTGCTGATTTTACAAAACTTTACACTGTGGTAAATAGTGTTAATGATGTGGCCTTAACATTACATAACATAACATGACAAAGATTTTTATAGTGACCCAAGAAAACAAAGTCTGTGCCAGTGGCTACAAGATTGTATCTCTCCCAATGTACTCCCTACTGGAAGCAAGAGGTGACCAGTTACATCATAAAAGTAGTGTAATGACGTTATTTGCTTCCAGGCCATCGTCCAGATCAAACGCTTCATTTCACTTCCTACATGTAGTTCAACAGAGACATGCAGTACCGCTGAATATAATCAATTCAAAAAACTTTTGAACAAAATGTTACAATGAAAATACGTGAGCCAGTAAATGAGATTTAATTTTTCAAGTTTCCGTTAAAACAAAAATATTTCGTAAACTTTTGTGTATAAGATGTTCAAATGAACCTGAAAATATCTTTAAAATGTTTGATGTGTGTTACACTCATCACATTGTTTAAACATTTATACGTGATGATACATTTAGGGAAAAATGAAACAAACTTTTGGGGTGTGCCTTATACATATGAAAAAGCGTTGTATGAAGAGGTTTGTAAAGTATTAATATGAAAATAATAAAGAATTGAATGATAAAGTTCAAAAAGTATTTCCGAATTAAAAAGATGTTAATAGCACTAGCCGATTGGTGTTCTGGGCCAATAATGAGGTCCATTATCAAGAGTCACAACTTCATCGCAGCGATCTGTCATTTAAAAGTTTACATTTCATTGACTATGTTTTAGTCTGATTTAACTTCGCAAGCTAATTCAACCTAATTTTAACTCAAATTGAAATGCCTTTGCTCTTATTAACTCTAGAAACATTTTAGATTATTAAAGATATAAATTTTTTGTTTGTTTTCAAAAATCTAACAATTGAAACATAACTTTTCAAAATATAACATACCAGTCCTGCATTTTTCAGGCAACCCTTCAAACTTCTCACTGAACGATATTATGTTCTGTGAGAAGTTGGAGTCCAGTTCGTGGAACTTCAAGTCCAACCAGCAGGTCATCTCATCGTTAGGACAACTGGTTCTGTTGATGTCGGTGCTGGTAGTAACGGTGCGTGGGATGGTCGGCTCAAATGGAATCGAATTTGACGATCCATTGTACGAACTGCTCTCTACGTCTGGAGGGTACTTAGATCCTGGAGACGGCGTTGATGAAGATGCGAGTGGCAACAAACTCGACATCGTTAAAATAGTTTTACATACACACAACAACATCACTACTATCATTTTATTGCCGAAAAATGAAGCGGTTTTTCTGTTAAATGTTAACATGATTCTGATTTTCTGAAGAATATAATTTTAATTTAATAGAAAACCGATTTACTTGAAAAAATCTTTTTAAAATTTTGAAATAACAAAAATAATGATTTAAATTTAATTTTGCTCCTAATCTGGATTTATAATTTCTATGGATACAGTTTTTTCCAAAGTTCAGAAATAAAATTGTGCGTTACATTTTTATATTTGCTTGTTATGTATAGCAAACACATGCACACACAAATATATATATGCTAAAATTTTTTGAATGAATATGAATATAAATTTAAATGAATTTATAGCACCCGTTTTTCCGTGCATAGTTAGTCTTCTCGATAGCTCGCTCGTCGTCATTCCAATATATTCAAAATTATTGGGTGTGGGTTTTTTTTGTGTGTGTATGTGTTGCATTATTAAAAAACAGAAAGTAAAGTTTTTATTGGCAAATTTTAAATTTTGCACAAATGTGCGTGAGAGTGTTGTTTTCGAAAAATGTTCAAAAGTTAAAAAAATTGATAGCTGAATTTTAAGAATTTTTAACGTTTGAAATGACACAAAAAATAATTTTTAACTAGCATTAATTTACAAATTTTATCGATTTCAATTGAAGCAACAAAAAAATGCACTCACAAAAAAAGCTTTTTTGCATGACATCACATAATGCACGACTAGTCATGAAATAAAAAATATTTACAATTGCAAGACATCTCAATATCATTATTATAGCTTCAAAAAATATCTTAGCTGTGTACCATTACTATAAAAAAAATATTTTACATGAAGTATGTTAAATTAGGTTCAGTTAAAATCAGTGATGGATTTAGAGGACTTGGATGGGCTACAGCCCTCTCGTTGTGAGCAGTATTTTGATTGAAACTCAGTAGAACTAAAGTATTACATATAAAAATACCTTTCCAAGTAGAAAAATCATCAAAAATTGGCGTAATAAGCAATGAAAAATTTTGTGACCGTCCCGTCAAATTTTAAAAATTGTGGCTCCTCCTTTCATTGTTGTCTAGATCCAATTAACATTCAAACGGTTGTTACTAGTGCCCTAGCCAGAAATTTTTGTTGTGATGTCTTTGTGGTTTGAGGAATTATACAATCCTTTTATTCTCAACCCTTTCTTTGGTACAAAATTCTCAAATTAAAAACAATATATTCATTATAAGTTTTTCGTTTTTCACTGTTGCGATAAAAATCATAAAAGTTCTTTGCATAGAAAATAACAAAATACAAATGTTTCTCATTGGCACTACCCAAAACATCATCATCGGTCACGACGGTTGATATTTAATATTTTGCAAAGAACGAATCACTAACAGCTATTGAATTTAAAATTTTTTAACGGATTTGGCTAGATGGACGTTACAACGAGCGACATCAGAATCGGGAGCAAAAATTATCCACATATATATATATATATATATATATATATATATATATATATATATATTTATATATATATATATTCAGTGCAGATTTGGTTTATATATTCAACAATATAATATACATAATGAAAGCAAAGTTTAGTTATAACGACTCTGCCGTAGGTAGTTTTTAATTTTAATAGTTTTCCTTTTCTCCCATCACTTTTCAGTTTAATGGAAGTCACTTCATGGGAATGGCATCATTAATGTTTGTTCTGGTTGTCGTCGTTGAATTTGTAATCCTGAATATTGAAGAGTGTAAAATTGGCCTATCCGTCCAACTGAGAGAACTGCCCCACTCGTTTCGGACTGATTGATTGCACGCGCAGTGAAACAGAAATATGAACAGACCTTGCAGGCTGATGAAGATCACCAAGATTACCTGGATTGGTAGAAATAATTAATTGGAAAAATAATCAAACTAATGAATATACTTAATACATATAATTATAAGTGTTTGGAATATAGACGAAATCAGAATTTAATTTATGTTCAAAAAATTGTTTTCAATCTTTTACACATTCTCAACTATTATCTAATTGTTAAGAGATCTTTAAAATATGAAAATAAATTATTACCCTTTTTCCATTTCAAAGTAATTAACGCAGTCTCGAAAATAAATTACCCAAATTAAAAAAATATGATAAACTTTGGAGAGTGACTTATATAACGGTATTAGTATTAATTGGTTATTATGAACAAATATATATAAATATATGTCACGGGCATTTAATTCAACGTGAACATACTCCTATCACTCCTTTGAAAATCTCGACTGAATCACCACTCTCATTCTTCATTGCACCAAATGCACTCAGAATCCACGGAACGCCCAGCAAGACCAACAACGTGAGAGCACCCACCAATCTGGATTTGTAATTTTTTTTCTCCTGATCTTGAAAAAAAAATCAAATTTATTTTGAAATAATAGAAACTAAACAGTAGCTATAATTTAATTTATAACAAAACGGATATGCTGTCAGTTGAAGTGATGGAATGCATATATCGTCACGTATATTTTTTAGTTCTGCGTTTTGTCAGCATTGGTAACCAAAGTTTTGACGCCTAATAATAAAAAACCCAAGATACAAAATATGAATTGTTTCATTTTCAGTATCGCTCTGCATTATATTTCGGTCAGTATTTGAAAATCTAATGAGGATAGAATAGAATTGATGTAAACTGGGTGTTATGGTTGAACATGTTCCGCCATCTGAGAATGAAAATAAATTCACCTGAAACGTTCACAGTGAAAAAATATTCAGCCAAAAAAACTGATTATTACCATTTTTGTTTAATTTAGGCGAATCTGTGCACAACACTCTCATAACCATGATGAAGACGACCATGTTGTGGATAATTATGACTAGCATTGGCAGCAACCAGGCATAATAAAGTGTGTTGTCCTTCAAACCGCATCTGAATTTGAAAAAATACTTTTTAAGTTGAAACTAAATTATAAACGCTCGTCAAACACTTCCTACCTGAAATCACAATTTTTGTAAAAACCATCAAACGCCGTTTTGTCCACAGACAATATGACTGACAGCAACACCAAAGGAATGCCTAAAAATGGCATATAATGTCTACTATTTTAAAAAAATGCAGTTTATTAATTATATTACATAAAATCTTATCAAATAAAGTTTCGTTCAAAAATGTTCAATCAACCAACCCCAAGCAATGCATGCTGAGATGAGAATGAAGTGACTGACGTGTCGGTGGTAGACCACCACCAACATGCGATACATGTTGTGCGCCTCCACTCCATTCCACATCAGCGACACCAGCACAAAATAATATCTGAAAATATTTTATAAACTAATACATAAAACCTCCAAACTGTAAAAAGTTTAACAAGGAAACATCTTAATCTTTTTATTTAATTAAGAAGTTATTTAACACCAAATTGTATACAAATTAGTAATTTAATATCTATTGCTGAAACACGTGACATATTTAAAAATTCTTTTTCGTAAGTCGGCACAAGTAAGAGAGACCTGAGAGCATTATATATCCAGCACTCCTTCCTGTTGTTGCATCTGAAGTCAGCCACGTAGAGCACCAGCAACAAAAATATCAAAGATATGCATAGGTTCACCAATATCTTTGTCACCATGCCTTTACGAGTTTTCCTGAGTTGTTAGAGAAATTAATTTGGAAGCATTTAATAGTAGTAGTAGTAGTAATCGATGTTGTTGTTGTTGTAGCAGTAGTAGTAGTAGTAGAAGTAGTAGTAGTAGAAGTAGGAGTAGTAGGAGTAGTAGTAGTAGTAGTAGTAGTAGTAGAAGTAGGAGTAGTAGGAGTAGTAGTAGTAGTAGTAGTAGTAGTAGTAGTAGTGTAAGAATTAGTAGTAGTAGTCGTTGTTGTTGTTGTTGTTGTAGCAGTAGTAGTAGTAGAAGTAAGAGTAGTAGGAGTAGTAGTAGTAGTAGTAGTAGTAGTAGTAGTCGTTGTTGTTGTTGTTGTAGCAGTAGTAGTAGTAGTAGAAGTAGGAGTAGTAGGAGTAGTAGCAGTAGTAGTAGTGTAAGATTTAGTAGTAGTAGTCGTTGTTGTTGTTGTTGTAGCAGTAGGAGTAGTAGTAGAAGTAGTAGTAGTAGAAGTAGTAGTAGTAGAAGTAGGAGTAGTAGGTATAGTAGTAGTAGTAGTAGTAGTAGTAGTAGTGTAAGAATTAGTAGTAGTAGTCGTTGTTGTTGTTGTAGCAGTAGTAGTAGTAGTAGTAGTAGAAGTAGTAGTAGTAGTGATAGTAGTAGTAGTGATAGTAGTAGTAGTGGTATGAGTAGAAATATGAGTAGTAGTAGTAGTAGGAATAGTTGTAGTAGTAGTAAAGGAGGCTGTAGATTAGCAAAGAAGCCAGTACCCTATGACAACCAATTACATTGGTTATTGTTCGTTTAAAAATTATTTATAAAAAGAAATTTTTTGAACACAAAACTTAAACAGTTACTGAATTGGGTTAATCAAGTATTAGTCGCATTTTGTTTTAATTTCCGATGACGAGTTTACTTTTAATGATGTGTCGTAATTTTCCATTAATTAAACGTTCAAATTTTTGAATCCATATATCCAAAAAAAATATTTAAACAGTTACATTTATTTCCAAACTTGCTATCCGAAGACGAAAATCTCCGCTATGGAAGAAACTGCTGTATATTTCAATTGTGGAGTAGTGCTTTTTTCAAAGTTATATGTGTAAAGGTAAAATAAATCTTTGTAAAACGAGTGCCAACTTGATGAATGTGTAAGTGAGGATGGTAAGTAGCAGTGAGACGATAGACACCACCCTCATCACCATACCCATCAGACTCAACTCCTGCATGTACGGGAAGTTCTGATTTGTGGAAAGTAATTTCATTGAAGTTTTAATCACACGATGCGTTTATTTGTTGGAAAAAATATAAAATGTTGTTAGAAATGAATTTTTTTTATCTTACTTTCTAAAAATAAAATAGAGCAAAATGTTCTAACTTACCAGAAATACAGCAATGTTGCTAGGTTCTCTGGGGCTTCCGCTGGATGCTTTCCCTACTCCATACTTAAACAAAATAAATTGTTTGTGTTTTAGACATGTTGGGGTACGTTATAGCTTTATTTCAAAATTTTAGAATTTTTATTATGACAAAACAGCAGTCTGTACGTTCTGTACATTTTCGTCACAAGCGGTTCAGCAAGCAGTATTTTATCTTTAAACTAAATGAATATTAATCTAATTGTATGCAAAACTGAAATTAATAGTTTTTTCATTAAATGTTTTTAATTATTTACAATAAAAACGTAAAAAGTTGAAAATGCTAACGTTTTAATGGAATAAATAAAATAAATCACTGGTGTATGAAATAGGGTGGCGTTGTAATGTTTGACTTATATTAGTGAATCTCATTTTAAAAAGGTTTAAATACAAAATTAAAATTAAATCAGTGAGTTTTTAATTGAGAAACTTATTTGATTAGTTTGACAAGCCATTCGTATAAAATGACTAAAATACTAAATACATGTTTAACAAAAGAACGAATTATATACTTAAGCGTTATAGTTACGATTGACGATGTTGAACCAGCAAGCGTTATTGGCTTTATTAATTGATGATTATGCATTGAATAAATATCTAGAGTAATGCCAATAATCAAGTGGCTTGAAAAATTAATAAGCTAAGGTTTTTTAAATAAACAAAAATCTATTGTAAATAAAAATTTCTTTAACGAACCCTTAAATTATTATCCTGGAAAACTCCAAAGAAGCCAGTTTTGTTGCAGGAACATATCACGGAACTGTTCATAATTTTGAGATTGCAATCAAACTGCCACAAACTCGGAACAAACACATTTGGACTAACGCCACCAAAATCACTTTGATCTTCGGATGATTCTTTTCTAAACCCATGTGTTTGTTCATAAAGGTAGTAACCACAAAACGTCGTTTTATTCTTTCCATCCTTTAAAAAAAGAACAAATTCCATGTTAACTTGTCACAATTGAAAAAGAAATCGCATCAATGACTGATGATGTGACCCGACTAACTAACAAGTTGGATGTCATTGAATAGCATCTGGACAGTGAGGTTCTCAACTCTGCTGCCCTCCGTGCTATCGTTCGCGTAAGCTCTAACGTCAACGAACAACAGTGAGCTAACCAGTCTAAAATGTGAAAGATTAAAATACAATTTTTTATCCCCCGTTGTTTGAATCTTATTCAACAATGAGGTAAACAGGCATTTATTTGCGTATTATGAAAAGACAGTAGCGTTACGTGCAAAACTGGCGTTTGATGCAGACGTCCAAGTTTCGCAAAAGCTAAAAATCGGTAATAAAACTAAGATAAATTGAAGGTTTTGAACGAGTTATATTTTTCAACAATCTAACAATGATTCATATATTAAAAACATTTGTGATGCCTAACAAAGGACATCAATAATTTTCACAGTGCAATAAAATGTTACCAAAGTGGCAGTTTACTGTTTATTTCCAGACTTAGCCGTTGATAAATACCACAAGTGATTAATTATATAATATCATAAAAACAGTGAAGAACACAGATGAAACGCTAGCAGAACGATTTCATACAAACATGTCATCGTGTAAAAGATCCGCGCGAGGCATGGCACTCCAACTAAATTTGGTGATCAATAACAAACAATCTAAAAAAAGAAAACCATCTCAAACAAATAACATACAAAGAAAGAAAATTACTAGAATCAGTTAACAATGCAAGATAGAATTGAAAATCAACAAAAAAATGAACTATTATTGAGAATGAATGAATGAAATCTAAATGAATGAAACATGTTAGAATTTGCATGAAAGTCAAATGGATAAACGAGTGAACCAAAAGTTGCAATGTTTCCTTGTTTTACAATTTTCTGACAACAAGAAACACACAGCTAGCTAGAAGAGAAATATACGCATAATTGTTTTTACGTGAGTTTGCATTGACTAATTGCTTTCAAAAACGATACATTGATTACACGCAAACCGTCCAGTAATTTTGTTTACTCGACGGTTACATCTTTGTAATGAGAATTATCAAATGTCGTAAAAAAAACAATGAATCTTTTTAACAGTATGCCAAACAATGAATCTTTTTAACAGTATGCCAATAGAATTTCTAAAAAATTAAAGTTGATTATAGAAGTCGTTTTGGCGCACCACTGCAAGCGGCATCCGCTGCTTGATGCGCCGCCTCCCTCGCTACGACACTGGCCATGTTACAGCATGGTCGTGAACAATTTCACAATAATGTTCTTTCGTTTTGCGCTGATATGAACAATGCAATTCAACGAACTTTGTCGATATTCTAAGAGGATCAGGTTTGTCATTTTTGAGTCCATTCAATGAAGCGTTATCATCACTTTTGTTGATAGCTGCCAAAAAGTTGTAAAAATAAGTCAATTATATAAAAGTTGTGTGCTTAAATGTAAATAATGAACCTTCTAGAAGATTGAAATGCACGTGGCCGTCCGAATAAGTGTTGATGGAGCTGATGTCGTCGTTACTACCGTGATTCATGGTGTTGTAATCAAGTTCGCTAACTTCCATGTAGTCATTGTCCAAATCGCCGAAACTATAATCCGTTTTGTTTGCCTTTGTCACATTTCGGTCCTGATTGGTTTGTATGTACGTTCATTAATGTCATGAGAAATGTTCATTTGAAAGTATACAAAATTGTTAAAATCTAAAATTGAATTGATTCAACTAAATTTTAAAACATTAAACAACAATGTACAATTTTGAAACGGTCAGTAGTGGTCCGAGACGTTGATCGAGGAGGTTTGTACATTGGCTCACTGACAACATGCAGGCGTTGTTCATTTATAAGAAAACATCTCAACTCAAAAACTGAATTAACTGTTGAATTTAAAAACAAAAATACATTCGTTGAATTCTGATACATTGCGTGTTAACTAATAATTAACATGTTTGGTTATTAATACGTCGTTTGAGTACAACACTATCAATTTTCTCTATGATACATGGGTATCTTAGTTCTAAGTTATAGCAACTGCAGCACACAGCGCTTTCATCTGCACTAATAGGCGTGAATGAAACTTTTGTGGCGTGTTCACTCAGACATTCTATTAGACTTTGAAGGCAGACCCTGCCTGCAACACACAGCGACCTCCCAGCAACAGTGTGAAATTTTGATACACAACCCACATATATTAATATGCGCACATTTATTGCATGATGCATCATGCGCACATGATGCATCCTGCAGTCAACCCTATTCACCAAAGGCTGGGAGACCTGAAAAAATGAAGCACACGTGTATAATATATTTAATTCACATGAGCGATAAAAAATGATCTGGATGTTTATGTCGAC